TGGCATATCACTGTTCACTCTAGTCTAGTGTGCTACCGTCCGTGCCGAGAACGTGAAAATTTTGCAAGGTCCCCCCGTTCCATCTGTCGTTCCTACTCTCCCTCCCATGGCCAGCTCGTCTACTTCCCACCCAAATGCACCTACCACGAGTAGCCCCTCTACAGCCGGTTCTTCGGCTGGCATGATGTCGAAAGGTTCTCTCTCTGGTACTGCACCTGTTGTCAATGCTTCTGGTGAGTTCTTCTTTCCCGTGTCTCTACAGGGTACTCCCCTTTCGCTCTCCTTACCACCTTCCCCGTCTCTGTCACTGTCTTCAGGCGCTAACGTACATTCAGCAATTCCAGTACCAAACATCAACGGCGTTCCTCTCACTGACGCTGAACAGGATAACCTCATTGCATCATTGCACCCTGATAGTAAGTCTCCCTCTCTGCTCAGTCGACACTCTCTTGACGATTCACTACAGCTTCCCCCAACCGTAAACGTCGTGTCAAGACTAATCAAGACAATGCTCCAATCAAGAAGCGTAAGGTGGGCAAGAAGTAACCGAAGCACCTAACGTATCCTAAATGCGCGGACTACGAGTCGATTTTTGTAACCGCCTTCCTACTTTCTTCCAAATTCGTTACCAAGGTTCCCTGTGATTCAAATAGTTAGAAAGATGTATCCCTCAATTTGAAATAAAATGTGTTTTTACTCTACTTTAATTATCATCGATTTCTCTGTCGCCCTCTCTTTTTGGTGGTCCAGGTGAATCCGATCGCCACCAGCCCTCAGCCATCGACCACAACCATTTGACCCAAAGTGCTCTTCCGATCACATAGACCCCTCTCCAAAATCTGATCATTTTTGGTATATACTCTACACAAATCTGTTCTATCACTTGCTGTGTCTACGGAGCCAACTGTACCTTCGTATCCCTTTCATCAGTGATCGTCGGAGCGCAAACCCACTTGACGTCTTCTGTCTCTTCCAGTCCTACCTTTTTTATCCAGATATTATCGGAGAAGCAATCATGTTCAAATGGAAAATTGTAGCCAATCTTATTTACATGAAGTTTCTTTGCCCAATAATAATCACTCCACCAGATTCACTTCGTCAAGGTCACTTCCTCAGATCCATGATCGCGTCCACCTGGCTGGCTTCCCTTTGTTGCCCATCTTGCTTCACTGATAGGACTGATAATGTGGACATAATGGGCCTTTCTTATTGGCGACGGCAAACATTTTGGCTCCGAGGAGGTGAGTTCTCTTTGATTGGTCATGCGCGGACTGAGACACTTACTTATTCCCCTCAAACTCCCATTTTCTTGGGCGCTCATTATCGGCCTCTTCTGCCTTTATTGTTATAATTTCTTCACCCATATGATGTCCATAAAACACCCTCTCGCCAAACTTTCCCCGTGCTCTCGCTCTCGTCACCCTTCATCTCCTTGTCTACCTCTAGCCACCACTCTTCGCAGCTCCACACCTCACGCCCCCTTACTCCTACTACCTACAATATGCCGCGTCTATACGAAGTACCCAATGGGGGCATGACCCTTACTGCCAGCGACCTCGGACGCACCATTAGGGAGGACCGGGAGTCGCTCACCTTTGTCAAAGTGTGCTCAAGTTTTTGCAACCCCGGTTCCGCAGGAGTTACTTCTAACCTGATGGCCGCCTATTACGATAGAGAGAGTCAACACCTTGGTCTCCGCTATGGCCGAGCGCATCCCCTCTATCAGTCGAATAAGGACAACATACCTCGGTTCAAGATTTGGGGGCGTATCAATGATGAAGGTTCAAACTTTCGTCATCCCTTTGGAAGGAATCCAAATGCCTTCCGTGTACCGGTAAGCCTCTCTGTTTTGCACTCCCAGTGTATTCGCTGATCACCTTCTCCATCCTTTGAGGTCGATTCCTGGCTGGTGGAAGGTATTACTGACTCCATCGGCATCTCTCCTATCCGCTCCTCTGACCCTATCCTTGGACAAATGATGGACGATCAACTGGAAGGTGCCCAACTGCTCCAGAAGCTCTTCACATGCTGTCTCATTGCTAATGGCCTATCCCGGGTATGCCCTCCTCTCCTCATTGTCTTTAGATGCTCATCATTTATCCTATAGCCCTTCGAGCATGATATTGCCCGCAAGGAAGATGCAGAGCCCGATAGCCTTGAACATCATTTTCTCATGTATCTTCCTTCCAACTATGTTCGTCTCTTCTCTGCTCATTGGTAGCTGTACTAACTTACCGTACACTTCGTTTGTGCTTAGGTCAACGTTGACCACCCTATGGTTCATTCTCCTGTTGTGAAGAAAGCGCGGGGTGTCGTGTCAATAATGTCGGATTCGTTACCAAAGACTCCCGGTATGTGGCTGCAGCCCTCTGGTGCATCTAGTTACTCAACACTATTGTGGTAGGACTACCAGGGACTCACTATCCTCCCCACGCCTGGCCTTCTTTTGTCCCACAGCATTTCGTCAAATCCCATTGCATGCGGGCGATCCAACCACCTATCTACCATTTTAATGGAACCCCAATCTTGCCTGTTGACGTGGAGGATCAGCTCGACGCTGAGAGTCTTATCTTGTGTGCCACAGTCCGGATCGGTGTCTATGTGAACCCGAGTACATGCCTTTCGGTATGTTCTTTTTCCCTTGCCATAGAATAACTGCCAATCGCTAGTATTTTCTAGGTCCCTTTTCTTAACGCGGAGGAAGTTCGTCTGGTGGGTTACGCCATAGACGATACTCCCGGTTCACCTTCACACCCACTGAGTCCATCTGTCGTCGAGAAAGATATCGCCCTCTCCCACTCAGATCATGAAGACAATTCTAGCTCCTCTGAAGGTCAGTTTCCTACCCATGCCTGCCGACAATGTCCTCATTCATATTATCCTTAAAGTGAAAACTACTCTCCGAAGCATGCCTAATCCCACACGTTATGAACACCATACCTCCACTAGAATCCGGTACGTGTGGAAATGCTAGTGGGCAGGTGTATTCCCTTGCACACGGCACTTGTTTGGAGGGCCAGGGTTCTTGGCTTGATTCCCACGTCATAAAGAAAGATAGTATGAGATTTGTATTTTCTGTAATTCACCTTTCTTCAAGTCAAAGTTGCATTTATCTCTACACTGTACAAATCCGTAAGGTCTTGTGTTGCGCAGCTGAATGCTTTGCGCCTCATTGTCTGCTTCAATCCAGCCGTACACCAAGCTATGACTCTTTGAACCCGACACTTGTTCTGATTTATTTTCTGTTTCTCTCATTTGCCGTCCTCATCTCTTTTCGGTGGTTGTCCATTGGCAATGCCACTGGACGTCTTCCACTGTCGACCACGCACTCTCCCCTGCAGTTTTCCTCAGCTCCTCAAGATCACTCCTTTTGTCTTTGCACGATTGATAATTTCGGAACTTATCGTTCAGACGAAACTGTTCACTTCGCGAGGCTCTCACTTTCTCATGCTCCTGCTGCTGGATCTTCTGTTTCCCTTTCATCTTTCGCCTAGATTTCATTTGGGACACATCGGGGCATCATAATGGGCCTTTATGGTGGTGGATGACGATTTTGGCTCTTGGAAAGGCGGGTCCTCATTGACATTGGTCATGCGTGCACTGAGACATTCGTTTTGCCTTGTCCGCCCCTTTTCTGAAGGCACTTACTATCGCCGTCTTCTTCCCTTTATCTCCCCTTTTCTTGTTTCCCTTTTTGCTTTTCGAACTCGTTTATAAACCCCCTTCCTCCCTCCTC